ATCAAATTTGAATATGTTAATCGATGTCTGATTAAAGATATCTACAAAGAAGCTCATTCGAACCCATCACTGTAAACTTAGTTAGTTTCTGGAAGAAACTTGCGTTTATGAAAACATACAATGACAGTCGCTCGCAGAAAAAAATATGATACAGGATGATCTGAAAATTCTATACTCTTTTTAGATTATTATTATGTACAGCGCAATCAGATATACATATAACAGATCATTATCTACAGTATACTCATTGGTTAAAGGATGATCACAACACATCACAGCGTTAAGTCTGGGAATACTACTGCAATTTACAATGGCTATCATATTTGGTCTCCTATCGTGCCCAAGGGGATGAAAGCGAAAATTGCTCGACAAAGCTGGAAAAGGAAATAATTGACATGCATAGTATTAATCTACAAATAACTAATACGGTACCTCTTGGTATTATGCATGAATGTCGTGGCGAGCAACACGGCAGGTCCTCCTCCACCTTGCATTCGTTTCTCATTTTGAGATCGTACAGATAAAGCCTCTTCAAATGTAGCACCACCAACGATGAAGATAATAAGATTGTCTTGACGGCTACTAAAAAAGAATGAATGATGTAATATACTCATGCAGAACACTTGGCATAGGCTGCTACATGATGAAGGCGCAATAAAATGGGCGCGAACGCGGCTATTGGCCTTAGAGCGCGCGAGGCGGATTTTGGTGAAGATACGCGCGCGTCGCGTTCGCGACCGCTGAACCTTGAGCGCCTTCGTCATGCAGTGGCCTTTCGATCGAACAGCTTTGGAGTCCACTCACTTAGCATTATCACCACTAACATATGGATATTGTTGTTCCGACAATCTTCCTCGGACTACATTCTCCATTACCGTTTTGATATATGGCTCATGTTGCGTATAAATGTTCTCCACTCCCTTCAGTCCTTTTATAAACCTGAATAATACATTTGTGTAATCAAAATTAGCAAATTGTCATGCCAAAATTGCTTAAAACATAGAAAGAGTCATAGCGACCATAATATCCATAATCATAAATATAAGGCAATAGAAAAGGTCATATCGATACATTATTCGAAAAAAAAAGTCCGTGCAGCTCACCTTTTTGTCATTTCCATTGTCGATCCCTCTCCGAAAAGATCGGTCTTTCTGCGTCCAGCCCCTCCATACTTTAGCAAAGATCGCACTATATTCGCGCAGTCCATATCCTGCATTGAACAGAAATGACGCACAGAAGAAAATAATGACCATAAATTGCTATTCAACGAAAAAAAACAGAATAAAGAGGATGTTATTACATGAAAAACTGAACAGCAAATTGCAGATCAACATAAAAAATGGGAGTTAAATAAAGGAAAAATTGCTACTGAATCAAAAAATCCAAAAAAATAGGCCTTACCCTTTTCAGCAAATTCACTAAACTATTTAGATCGTTGCTTGGATTGCCTTCGAACCTTAGCGCATACAACAGCACTAGCCGTAGCGCATCCTGGAAAATAAATTTTAAAACAATTCAACAAATTTACAGAACACCAGTTACAAACCAAGCTAGTAGTCTTAGGATGGTTGATAAGCGAA